ACAGAAAGATAATTAAAAATATTGTAAGGCCCTTTTCTAGGGGCGTTTTAGCATTTTCTTATTACTCTGACAAATATTAGTTGTAAAAATCTTGCCTCGTTAATGTCACAGGGAGGAGCAGATTTGCATGAATGAAATTCAAAGGGCTAATTTTAATTCTCCATCAAAAAGCCATCCCCTGGCAGGATATTTTTAGCAGTCACTCAACACAAATCTAAAGATGCTCAGCTGTGGTTTGTTTATCTTCTAGGGGAAAGGCATGGGTTTTTAAACGAAACCACCCATCCCCACATTACAAAATCAATCATATGGTATGAAGATTTTTGTGAATGTCATCTACGAATTATAAAACTAGTGGCAAAGTGTAAATATGCTAAGGTCTTATTTATTCGGCTGATGAAAAAAATAAGCCTCAAGAAATCTCCATTTCTTAAAATTTGCTAAGCTATATTCACTTGTTGATTGGAGCAGGTAGAAGAGAAATTTGAGGGGTGGAATACAGCAGCAGTTGCTCAGGGACAGGTCACAAGATGAGCAAGCAGCAGCCCACAATGCACATCTATGGGACCATTTTGCAAATACCCTACAGCCTGCTGTGGTTCTGCCCTGCCAGCATCTCCTTTTTGCACTCATGCCCAAAGGACCTCTCTAAGCCCAGTCACAGCATGCTGCTGCCCCCTACACACAGCCAGCAGGTTGGTGCCATCGAAAGGTAGCTGTTTCTCTGAGAATCAACTTCAGAACAAATTAAAAATGATCACAAGAAGGAAGCCAGACATATATTTAACCCCAGTATTTCCTACAGATAATAATAATTACCAAATATGCAAGTCAAATGAATATGAATTAGTTGATATTTATTGTCTGCCACAGGATAAAAACTTTAAAGAATTTTACACACATTAGCTCACTAAATCCTACTGAAAACTGAGGTAGAAATGACCATTCCCATTTACAGACAAGAAAAGTGAGACAAAGAATGGCTAAAGTACCATCCAAGATCATCTGGCAAATCAATAGCAGAGCTCAGATCACACTAAGGAGTGTGGCTCCAGAAGCTGCACTTTTCTTAATCAGTATGCTATACTGTTGGTGTGAAATTGGGTTACCCAATCATTTCAGCTATTTTAATAATCAGATACAAGTTAAAAAATGAGACAGAACAACTGAAGTGGATTTTCGGTTTGGTGTCTGTTAGGGTTTACATCTAATGTCCCCTGAAAGTCCCACGTGCTCCAAGGTGGGGCTTTTGAAAGGTGATTGGGTCATGGGAATACAAGAGCTAAACATGATATTAGGAGGTGGGGCCTGGTCAGAAGAGGTGGGTCACTGTGGGTGTGACCAAGAACACTCTACCTCCCTCTCCGGCTCCCCTTTATTCTCTCGGCTTCCTGTCCAGCATCCTGTGAGCAGTTCTCTGCCCAGCCCCTCTGCCATGTCATCCTGCCTTGGAGCCAGGCAACTATGGACTGAAATGTGAGCCAAAACTAAACACCTTTTCCTTTAAATTGCAGGTGTCAAGTATTTTGTACCAGAAATGAGAAAGTGACTAAGACAATGTCCTTTGGCCTAGCAGTGGTTTTTATTTATTTATCATTTGAAATTGTGCCTGTTGACCACATGGTAGGCACTCCCTCGAACACCCACATATCCTCTTCCATTTCTGTACATAGCTAGGTCTAAAGTCAACCTGGGAAAGAACCAATAGACATAGAAAATGAACTAACTTCTATACAGCATGGTAAACCTATGCTTCCGTCGCAAGTCTTACCCTTGTGGGGAGAATCAGAAAAATAATGCTCATCTAATAAGATTAAGTTACAAAAGGGATAGGATATAATATGTAAATAAAAACTTGATGACAATGAAAGAAATGTAAGACATTTGCTCTATTTCCAACAGACTTAGCAGCCAAACTGTCACTTGAGGGAAAGACTGGCCAGGACTCTCATGAGAGTGCCTGGCCTTTTCTCTGAGGTGGATGCCAGCCCAGGCTACTGTGCATGTGGCCAGGAAGCCCTCACGTGTAAACACACAGCGAGTACTCGCTGAGTGATCTTCAGGCAAGTCAGCACCACCACAGGCTCAAGATCATTAGAGGAATGGAGATGATGGACCACTCCAAGAATTACAGACTGCCAGAGTTAGACAGAGTTCTGAATGTCTTAAATGAGACCTGAAATCCTGAGAAACAGCCTAACTGAATCTCAAAACCCCAGTCCAAGGGACAAACTAGCACAAGGGAACAAACCTAACAGTGTCATCGGCAGGATCTATTAGCTGCAATGTGAGGCTATCGCCAGTCTCTTATAAGGGAATGGATTCCTAAAAATAACAAAAGGCATGAATGTAAAACCGATGTAACAACAACCTGAGTCATAACCTACTGTGCTGGAGAAGGCCAAGAGTATTTTACTATAATTCTACCAGCCTGAAACCTCCCCAACCTTCCCTAAAAAAGCCAGTTTGAAGCTTGGATTTTGGATTTGAGGCAGACTTTATGCTGATTTGTATGTGATTTCTCTCATAAGAATATAAGAATGATAAAGGTAATCATGACTGAATTTGTTTTGCTCATCACTTTGGCCTTGCCAACTCCATATCCTATAGTGCCTGGCACACTGTAACTATCATTTAAATACTTTAAACTAAATGAATATGAACATATATATATTTCTTAAAACTCTGAAGTACATGAGTTTGCTTTTATAGAACCTAAAGTGAGTAGGGAAGAAACCACTAGATATGGACCCACTTAGAAACAGGATTCAAATTTCTCCAGTTTGTTCAGGAAAAGCTATAGATTTCCTTGGCCCCAATCCAATGATCATCCTGGGATGTTCATGCACCATTATCCATGAACAGTCCTCTAGCACTTCTTCTTTCTAACGTAGGCTTACCCGAAACTGAATCTGATACGTACTTCTACCCTCTACATGTTGAGAACCCAAGGATTTTAGAGACTTTAGATTGGATTTTTAGATTAGGGCTGCTCAGCTGGTAACATCCATGCCAATATTCCAAAGTCTCAAAACTCCAAAATCTGAAGGCCTTCTAGTCCCGAGCATTTGGGATCAGGAATAGTCAACTTGCAGTACAGTCTTGGTGAGAAGCCTTCATGCTCGCCACACAGGGCCATCACTACAATGGCCCCAGAGGGAGGGTGAGCCTGCATAGGGTTCAGAGGGAAAGTTGTAACATCAGGCTTTTCTGCAGGTGGTGAGAGTGGTAAGGCTACTCTGCGTCCAGCAGCCAGTCCCTATGCACAGCATCAATTATAGCACTAATACAATTAGGCAGGTGACCATTCTTATTGTAGGTGACATCAGGAAAAGGAGAGAATAGAGCACATTAGGCTAAAGTGGAAGTTTTGGGGGCTTGATCTTTCTAGTCCACAACAATACTAGCTAGGCCTTTGGTCCAAAAATGGTTAATTCTTCAGGAATTCTTGTAACCATTCATTTTGTAATACACAGTTGTATTCTATAAGGACAATCCAAGTATGAGTGAATACAATGAGAAACATAAGACTTGTTTACAGCAAAGAAAAAAGTAGTAGTTTAACCAACTGAGTAAGAAAGCCAGAACAACCTACAGAGAAAGGATAAAACTTGACTTTTACATGTGGAAATAAGCATACTTGTTGGCAAAGGTCACTTTTCTTATTTTTTGTGAGATGCTTTTAAAAGTTATGGAGATTTTGCAAGATATAAAATTACAACACAGTAACAAAAGAACCTTATACCACACCTTTCCTTCTGCAAACCATTAGTCTCCGTGTCACATTTATATTCTGTCTCAGTGCAAGGTTATTTGAGAGCTAATTTTGCACAAGACTTTGCGGCAAGTTTAAGTTTGAAGATTGTTTTACTAAGATTTTCTTCACATCACTCAATTCCATGTTCAACAACTACAATTTGTTTAGATAACTGAAATGTATGGGAAATATAACATCCAACTCAAAAGGAAGAACTGGGACACTCCCATGGGCATGTTACCGCAGCCAAGTAAGATGCATGAAGGAACTGACATTCCATAAAAGTAATTTCAAATCTCAAAATACATTTCAAATCTCATGTTCCAGGATAACGGAGCATGAGCTAATCATCTAAAAAGGCCAAACCTCATTCCTGATGTTATATCAATGCCAATAAAATTAGTAATCGCAGAATGAAAGCATATAGATGGAAGAATTTACTTTACTTTGTACAAAACTCAAATGCTACTCAAGAAATAAAATGCAACACAGTTCTAGTGATGAAGTTTTGAGAAACACATCTGGCTTTGGAGTGTTTATGGGCCAGAAACTGTCTTGTAATCCCCAAATGTGATCAGTTGGTACAAACAGAGGACACAGCCCATGGGGGTTGGAAGAGATGGGTCAACACAGACACAATGCGCCAGGGAGGCACTGGTCAGCAGGAACACCTTCACTAAAAACAAACGTTTGTGTTCTTACCTTTAATTATTCTGTACTATTCTTTTCTGTTTCTGAAAGAAAAGCTATTTTATCAGGAGTTTGAAATATCAGACTCTTTCACCAACACTGAGAAAGACAAGTGATAATGCAAAGGTGTGTGATACAGCAATGATAAAACAATGATGCACATTTCACTTTGAAAAGCCAAAGATGTCTCCTTTTACCTTGAAAGAAAGGAATTGTGGGATCCTGGGGATATCCAATTTGTATTCCTAACTTTATCTGAGCAAAAACAACATGTAAATAGTTTATAATCCCTTGAGCTTAGAGTACAGTGAGATGGCAATAATACATATATACACAAATATTATTATATAACTTAAAAATTTCTCACTAAGAATCTACAAAATAGACAACCTGCACAGTAATAATCTAGAGATGACATTCTTAAATTGTGGCTGCCGGCTAACTTCGTTGATAATAAGCAAACACAAACAATCCCTTAGATCCAGGCAAAGATTTTTCAGTCAAGGACTCTTAATTCTTTTAAATTTCGACTACTACTGGACAGAGGCCTCACCTGGGACTTCAGGAGAGAATCTTGCAGAGTGTCGAGAGACAAAAAGTTTGAGTTCTTGGTCCAAGTTGCACTCAATCAAGTTTGTGTCCCATGATCGGATCCCTAAGGAGGAAAAGGAAGAGAGTTGAGAGACTTCCAGTCAGTCATTTCAGAGTAGTTTGGAAAACATCGCTGTAACATTTCTCAGGCTTCAGGGGAGGATGTGGAGTCATTTCTAAAGAGCTCAGTGACTAGCAGTGGATGCCCACAAAATAGGAAGGCCAGGGAGGTCTCTCTGCCAGGCCACAAGGGAAGGATAACTAGCAGTGGGGACTGAACTTGTGCCCCTCATAAAATGGAAATGCTCCTTTGCTGGAAGAGTAAAAGAAAACAGTTATTAGGAAAATGACAGACTCTCTTCCAGGGAGGGAAAAGAAAGAGCAGGAAGATAGCTAGTTTTCTGGCAGCAAGAAATCATCAGACTATCTCTCACTTTCTATCAATCCACTTTTAGGTGACAAGAAAGTATAGCAAGCAGGTAGAATACAGGGAGAATGTGGGGGCAACCATTCAAGCCTAGGCCTTTGTTTTTTTAAATGATGTTTTTTAGTATGAATACATGATTTCTTTCTTTTACCCACCCCATTTCTGACCTTGGGTTTTCAACCCCTGGATATCAATCCAAACTTTGTGCGATCCCTGATAAGTAGGCTGGATTTCACGTCTTGGCTGAGTGTCCTCTCAGGACTGGCAGACAGTGCTGTTGCTCACAATTGTTAGTTATAATGAATTTTCTTATCCAGAAACAAAGAAATGTGGTGACTTTTTTATACTTTATAAAACTGTGATAGAGCTGGGGCCATGAACTTCCTTTCAGTCCATACTTCCTTTTACTAGACTGAAAAAAAAAAAAACATCGGGGGTGAGAGGAACAAAGATAAAGAAGTAGGTGATAGTGGTTTCCTGTGTTCGCGCCCTGCCTCGACAGCCTCTCCTTTCTCCTCTGTCTAGCCCCTCATCCCAAAGAGGATACTCAGAGGGAAACCCAGACGCCATCGGACAAGAGGGACCTGGAAAGCAAGCCAGAGAAACACGAGGAACCGTAGAATTCTGGAGCATGTATCTGTTTATTTTTCCCAAATAGCTGGCTCATGGTGCAGCCAGTGTGTTCTACACATGATCATATCCTTGGATATAGCATCCTCAACTGCCAGGAACAAATCTCTGGAACAACAAACACATACTGCCTACCTCCTATGGGAAGGGGCTCGAATCTGTGGCTATAACCCTGAAAATGAATTATCTCTAAATAAACAGCCAGTCATTTAAGCATTTTTATTGATCATTACTGGTACATACTGACTTGGGGATTTAAATTACAGTGTATTAAATATACCTCTAAATCCTCTGTATCTGTGTTTACCTCCATTTATAATTAGTTTTCTTATCTTGCAAAGTATTGAGGTATTATATACATGTGCTAAATACACTTACAGAAAGATTCTGGAAACACTATTTCTTGCACATCTAAACTATCGTCCAATATCATTAACCACGAGAAATATTTCTAAATAGATGTTCACTAACTAGAAGCACGATCAATGGAAATAATTCAGGTATGGAAGAGTTAACCTTCCCAAAGAGAGGCTAAATCATAAGGGAGAATTTTATGGATCTCCCTGGAAACATTAATGGTCTCAGTTTGCATTTGCGCTAATGGAGTATTTAAACTTTTAACAAGAAAGACATGTTGAGGTCTTGTGGATCTTTTTAGTGCAGAAATGATAAATGGATTCTTTTTGTTTCCTGGATAGCATGACAGGTTGAGAGGTCTGAATTCATTAGAATATTTTACTTCAACATATACATTTTATACTAGCCCAGTGTGAAAAATCATTGAGTTCCTGTCTCAGCTGCTTAATTGGTATTGTTGGCTGAAATTTCTGTGCGCAGGTTGAAGCTCCATTTTGTCTTCTGCCTTGACAAGCTGGGTCAGTAAGTTAACAAGGAGATATATGTGTTTAAATTAAATTCATACAGTTTTTCTGTCTTTGTTCCAAGGAATGTCTTAATTGCTACATTATTTGAATGACTTCATCCAGGGCTATACACACACTTGCTCTTACACTGCTGTTTGTCATTTTTCGCCCTTAGCTTCAGTTAACTTGTTGTGACATAAGCAATTAAATGTTTGCTTATATACACATATGCAACATATTTTATATAACATTATACATTTAGCATTAAATAAATTATATTTATAAGTTAGCAGTGAGAAAAATTGCTTATTATGAAATCCACTTAGTAATTTTATATTACACTAGTAAATGGCTGATAAAAATATTTCTCATTTAAAAAATATTTCTCATTTTTATATTGTTAATAAAACTAAAAAGTTTAGGGCTCTCTTTCTAAGAGACTAATTCCCAACCAAATTACTTTTTAACAATGTACATCACTACTACCATTTATGAAATAAAGATCACAATGGGCTTACTAGTTATTGTAGCTGGAAAGGAAAACTTAGGAACCAGGCCACTTTTTATACTAACTTTAGAAATAAAATATTTAGTAATTACTTCGTGCTTTCTGCTGGATAACAATAGTGGAGGGAAAGAGTATATCTCAGTGAATGTTCATATGCACTTAATAGGTTTCTGTCTATCCTCCCCATGCCTAACAGGAAGCCAAGAGTGGGCACACTCAAGTTCATAGAATAGAAAACTGCTGGTCTTTTCCATATTCTTCCTTCTCTGTGTCCCTAACTATGGAGGAGACCAGGGACTTGGGAAAGAGGTTCAAAGCAGCTTTCAGAAGTTGGTCATCCTGGCCTGTAATGGAAACAGAGAATCCATGATAAACTCCTGGCCCTTTTTCTGGTTGTCCTTCCAGTACACCCCAAGTCAAGCTCTTCCTTGAGGCTCTGCTTCACCAGCTACCAGATGATAGCGCCCTTACCAAGTGGGTAACAGCTGCTAACAACTCCAGCATTTGGAGGCAGTGAACCACTGCTTTTTAAATGTCTAGGCCCAAAGGGCATCTGTCACCCTGAAAAGCACCCCTGGCTACTTTCTGACTGCAGTCAAGCCTTGAACACTGCCACTGGGTCTATCCTTGGTGACAGGCAGGCACCAAAGGGTCTTTTCTTCTCAGTTCTCTGGCCTCACATGAAGTACACAAAGAACAGGCAAACATGCACAGCACATTTGCAGATGGAAAAGGAGAAAAGAAAAGACAGATGGGGGAGGGGTCATCACAGACCAAGTTGGGATAAAAAGGGAAGATGAGCCAGGTATCCTTGCCTTCCACAGGCTGGACTGCACTAATTTCCCCCAATTATGCAAGCACTTTGCAGGATTGTTTAATGAAACCAACAACTAAAAACAAAACAAAAGCTACCCTTTAAAGGTCAAAAAAATCCAACCCAAAGCCTGTATTTCTTAAAGAGACAATGGATTAAGGAAGCCCAAGAAATAATTTCTGTGCATGTTAATGGCTCATTGGTGCTACTGGGCTTTTGACGAGTTGATTTTCCTCTATGCACTTTAGTTGCTTCTCTGAGAAATAGGTATCTTGAGGATTTTCTGCAAATACCTAAAAGGTTAACCTATAAAAGATTCCATCTGTAAAACTATGCTGAAACATAATCTGAAACAGGATACAATCATAAACTACAGAAACAATTAAAAGGAAATGCTAAGCTATGGAAGGCTTTATTTTTCAGAGAAAAGATTTCCTATTTTCCCCTTTTCCTAGCCCTCAATTTGTATTTTTTCCCTTTTTTAAGGCAGCAACTTTTTGTTCATAACATACATGTCATATGTAATAGGTAATATCTTACATGCACAGCTCATAGTTTCAAAGCACTGATAATAATTCAGGTCTTAGATAACATTTTGCTATAGAGGCAAACAAAAAGAGCTTTATAATAATTTATTGATCTAAAAGGTATTTTAAAAAGTAAGCCCCTAGAGAAGATTAACAACGAGTGATCAATTCAATGCCCTTAAATTTGGAGATGGGTTTGTGTTTCATCATGGTTCACAGAGTCATTAATAGGTGAGCACAGCAAGTAGAAATCCACATCTTTCAACTTTGAAAAGTATAAAGATGAATATCATAAATTTAATACTTTCCAACATTCCATTTAACTCCTATTACACATGATTTTTGGTTTTTGTCATTTCCTGTTAAAAGAAAATGAAAATTAAACCCTCAAGTTTTCCTGGATTCTTAATTCTCTTACCATTCTAGACTGAACACATTCAATAAAGTGACTTCAAAATGTTACAATGCAATCAGCTCCATTTACAACTAAAAATCCAGGGCCAGAGATATTACACACATCTATCTTCTCATGAGCAAATCTTGCTGATTCCCAATGTCAACCAGAAGAAAAGCTACATTCTAACAGTAACTAAAATCATCAAATTGATATTTAGCATTCCTTATTTGTTTTAGCTCCTTTAAAAGAGTAATATGAAACAATGAAAAGTAATTTCACAAGGCTCTAGAATTCAGCCTGCAAAGGATGGATGCATGATGAGTGGATGCTCTGCTAAAACTGGGAGTGACTGGCTAAATCCACACTGGGGGCTAATTAGGGAGAGTGCAAAGTAATTGCCAAGGAATGGTAGATGGTGATAGCCACAAGGGCCTGGGATAAAGTCTTGCATAACTAAGTAAGGCTTGTTGTCAGTCAAAGGAAGCACTATTGTTTTCAACTCTGGAGAAAAAATGACCAAACACAATATTATGCCTTTTGAATATAGCTGAGAAAACAAGAGTGCACACTCTTCTAAGCATTTACTAAGCAAGCATCAGGCCTGTAGGCCTGCGGCACTACCAGTCTCTCTACAGACTTACAGAGATGATTTTCGAGGCCTCTTTGGGAATCCTCAGTAATCAAATGGCAAGAATCCAATTCACCAGAGCCTCCAACCCCATTGAGATGGGAAGGGAAATAGGAAGAAAGAGTCACAGATGAGGAACTGTTTTCCCAGCCCGCACACCCACAATAAGAGCTGAGACCCCTGGAGCAGCTCCATCTTGCTTCACACAACAGGGCCCACAAGCACCAGGGACAACAGCAGTGGCATCAGAGTGACCTCTGGAGGAGGC